CACTGGGCCAGCTAATCAATCAGAGCCCATCGTGTATTTCTGAGGGAGGGGCTTCTTAAAAGCAGGAAATGATCAGCCCGTTTCTCAGAGAAGGGACAGAGCGGTGTGGAATAAAGGTAAATTATGTGAAAAATTATTTTTAGTAATTAATAGTTATTATATAATAGTTATATATCGTTTTTTAAACGAAGCATTAACACATGTTAGACTGCAGATCATCAGACCAGTGAATACACTTATTTTCACATACTATAGTTATGAGAAGCGTTATACATGGACGCACGTGTGGTTGCTGAACTGTATTAAAGCTTTAATCAGAATAAAACCGTATATTAAAAGCTAACAGAAGGAGTAGCATTTACAAATAACAGTGTATCTAAAAGTATGAGACAACAACAAACAAAAATCTTAGGCCTAAAATTAAAAGCCATGCTTGCACAGGTTCTGCGCGATCCTCTTCTCTAATATCCTCTGCGTCTCAATCGGGCTCAAATTGATAAGCAATATAGAAAACGTCATTGTTTACAATACAACCAGAGCACATGCCGCTAAGTTGAGGGGCGGGACGCTCAGACGCACGCTAGAGGCGGTTTAGCCAATCACAACACACTGGGCCAGCTAATCAATCAGAGCCCATCGTGTATTTCTGAGGGAGGGGCTTCTTAAAAGCAGGAAATGATCAGCCCGTTTCTCAGAGAAGGGACAGAGCGGTGTGGAATAAAGGTAAATTATGTGAAAAATTATTTTTAGTAATTAATAGTTATTATATAATAGTTATATATCGTTTTTTAAACGAAGCATTAACACATGTTAGACTGCCCCCCATACACACAATCAAGCCTATAAAAAAAACAGTCAACCACCCATTTAAAGGCGGCCGAGCGCGTCTTGGCCTCCTTAAACTTCTTGACCACCATCTCGACGGAAGTGCCGAAAAGCTCAGAAGGGGAAACCGGCGCATCAAGGAGAAAGCCCCTCTCTTTCATCCCGATATCCACCAGTTTCACCACTGTAACCACCATGGCCGCCATGGATCTGCCAATGGCAGTGGCAGTCTGCTTAGTGGCACAGAGAGCAAGATCTGTGGTGTGACGCAACTCAGCCACCTCATCAAAACTGGCCCGCCAGCAATAATATCTGGCCCGCCCACAGTCAGATTATTTTGATAGTGACTGGTTCTGAAATAGATATGTCTTGACAGCAACAGTTACTCACAATCACTTTGTCTTTAGTGATTTTGCCTTCAGAATAAAAGTACGAGAACGTTTTGGCAGTAATGTTTTATTTTTAAATGAATTTAGAGCTTTTAATTTGAAAAGTTCTGAAAGACATTCAAAAGAGTCTATTATATTCTCTGCAAACAGCAACAACTTCGTTACAGATAAGACACACTGGTTTTGCATTCACAAAACTAGGTAGGATGAACGCATAGTTGTCTTTTCATTCTTCTTTGTATGCCGTATTTTCGCTGTCAACTTTCCTCTTTAGACTCTTTGATAGTTCCTTTTTCTCTCACCAGCTAGCTTAAATGTTAGTACGTTAGGATGCCAAGGAATAATTCTGAGTGTAAAAATAGTCCACGTCAAATAATTATTACAATAAGTTAGGCTTTAAAATAATACACATTTATTATTCACAATATGGAAAGAGGAAATAGGTTAAGAGCATGACTCAAACATGCCATTATTGGGCTTATTCAAGTCCTCTTTTATTATTTGTTATTTTTATCAATTCCGCATCTCCCACATATGTGTTTTAGCAAGGCGGTCTGTGTTGCAAGTTGGTGAATGAAGATACTTGCCAGGTTACGTGTCACTACTCTGCTTTATTAATTTATCCAATGTAAAACCCTGACACCGCAACACAAATTTGGCTTTTTGTTAATGACTGTCCTACTACAGGATTTAACACAGAGTAACAGCTCACTACCGGTTACAAAAGACACTGTAACAGTCTGTCACAGGCAATTCTAGTCGCATTTTTCATCAATTGATTTCTTAAATGATCCTTTGACTATATACAGGTGCATCGCAATAAATTAGAATGTCGTGGAGAAGTTAATTTATTTCAGTAATTCAACTCAAATTGTGAAACTCGTGTATTAAATAAATTCAATGCACACAGACTGAAGTAGTTTAAGTCTTTGGTTCTTTTAATTGTGATGATTTTGGCTCAAATTTAACAAAAACCCACCAATTCACTATCTCAACAAATTAGAATACTTCATAAGACCAATAAAAAACATTTTTAGTGAATTGCTGGCCTTCTGGAAAGTATGTTAATTTACTGTACATGTACTCAATACTTGGTAGGGGCTCCTTTTGCTTTAATAACTGCCTCAATTTGGCGTGGCATGGAGGTGATCAGTTTGTGGCACTGCTGAGGTGGTATGGAAGCCCAGGTTTCTTTGACAGTGGCCTTCAGCTCATCTGCATTTTTTGGTCTCTTGTTTCTCATTTTCCTCTTGACAATACCCCATAGATTCTCTATGGGGTTCAGGTCTGGTGAGTTTGCTGGCCAGTCAAGCACACCAACACCATGGTCATTTAACCAATTTTTGGTGCTTTTGGCAGTGTGGGCAGATGCCAAATCCTGCTGGAAAATGAAATCAGCATCTTCAAAAAGCTGGTCAGCAGAAGGAAGCATGCAGTGCTCTAAAATTTCTTGGCAAACTGGTGCAGTAGAGTTGAATTACTGAAATAAATGAACTTCTCCACGACATTCTAATTTATTGAGATGCACCTGTATATAGTATATATGTTCTGGCCCGCCATCCAGTGGTGAATTGTTTTTAGCCCAGTGCCAAACTTACTTGCTGACCCCTGATATATGGTCTTAAAAATTAACATGTCATGTGATCTCACGAGGTGACCCATTCTGTCTGTGTAATCAGTTTCTATTAGGCCAGAGACAGGACTGGTGTTATTAATTTCTGTTAAAAATGAGTGAGAGCAGCTTATGGCATTTCTATGGCAGTCTCACAAACCCCTGTGGTTTTATTCCCTTTAGGAATTTGTGAATTCCCAGCCTGGTAAGTTGACATGTCTATTTTTATTCCCTTTTTTTCTTTGAACACTAAGAGAAGGTAGAAATCAGACAGCAGTTTAACCTGCAGTGCTCTGAATAACCAGAAGATGGCAGCACAGTCTCATTTTTAAAGAGTTGAAAAAAAGTAAAAAAGTCTCCTTTTTGTTTTCTTCAGTTAATTCTGCTAAATATTTCACACAGTACTTAATTCACATATTTTGTAGGTAGATTGCTCCAATGTTGTGCAAAAAAATACATATATTGAGAAACTGATGGAATGTCATATTGTAATATTTGCATAATTGTTTGTGATTGGTCTTCTGTTGCTGTTTGGATATAATTTTAGACAACGTTTTTGTTTATATATAACTTTATTTGCTTGGCATGAAGCAAGATAAAATAGCAACTTAAATAATCTCACATTTTTAAATAGAAAATGTCCTTGTCTTTCTCCATTACAAGATTCATCTATAATAGCTTAAAATAAAACCATTATGAAAAAAAAAAAAAGAGAGATATGCTCTAGCCTCCCACTTTACCCAAACTCTGTACAAAATGGCTTCCGTTTAAGTGTGGGGAAACTGTTGTCCACAATTTAACACAACATACTTTAGTTCTGATTATACAAGCTTTAGCCACACAAACGCTGCAGCATTTTATGTCATGTTTCACAAGCTCCCAAAGTTTGCGTCCAATAAATGATTTGTAGAATTCATGAAACTGTCCACAAAGCTCAACTTCAGTCAGTTCATCTGTTTTCTTTTCATAGTTCGTCAGTCTTTCTTTTGTCGTAACATCTACACATCCATGTCTTTTATTGTGTACGTACTTTTCTATTTTTTCCACTCTTTTGCTTTCACACACGAGAAGTCACTAGCAGTGAGCGTAGTCTGCGTGCTAATGTTGCCTCCAGCTCTTCCAGAAGAGAGTCTTTTCCCGACCCGCTCCGTGTCCCGGACCCCAGTATCAGCGTACGGAAGGCTTCCCTCTCCAACAGACCTGCCATGTTCTGCAGGAAGTAAACTTCACAGTATGTACTGAGCTCCACCGCACCATGAGCCTGGACAAACACACACACACACACAAAAACTAATTATGCACTCAGTTACCAGCGAGAGACACTTTGGTACAGGGTTTTTGAGTCTTAAGTCTTAGTTTGCTCTTCCACAAATTAAAGCCTTAAAAAGGTTTTAATTTGGAGCAAAGTGCAAACATCTAAACATCCTTAAATCAAGATACATTTTCTTGAGACACAAACTGATGCAAAGTCTTGTTTTCTGATAAATGAAATGAGTTTATGCTTAAAACAAGAACAAATATCTGTCACTGGGGTATGAACTAGTTGCCCATTTGAAATGTTACATTTTCTGAGCTTATTGTCCAATATATGTTCTTGTTTTAATCATAAACTCGCTTCATTTTGATCAATTTCTCACAAAACAAATATTATGCAATTTTACTTAAGTAAATGTGTCTTGTTCACTAATCTTTAGACATTTACACTGGAAAACCAAATGAAAATACTGAGCATGTTTTTGCAGTGTGATCACAAGTACAGTAAAGTTATTTCAATATTCTAGTGGCTGGGAGCAGAGCTATTCAAAAGCTATTTTTTATTTTAAAACGAATAAATAAAAAGTAACAGATGTGTTGTAATTTTCAAACTTTGAAGTGTTGCTAATACAACTCATTTACATTTAGAGAACATCGACAGTGTTGCATTCAATTTATTTCTTTAAATCTATATATGAAAGTGAAGTGGACGCGTGGCCGGAATCATACTCGGAATTTGTGCTCTGCATTTAACCCATCCAAGTGCACACACACAGCAGTGGGCAGCCATATTGCTGCGGTGCCCGTGGAGCAGTTGGGGGTTCAGTGTCTTGCTCAAGGGTCTCACCTCAGTCGTGGTATTGAGGGTGGAAGAGAGCGCTGGTTATTCACTTCCCCCACCGACAATTCCTGCCGGACCTGAGACTCGAACCCACAACCTTTGGGTTACAAGACTCTCTAACCATTAGGCCATGACTACCCCAAGGTTTTTTTTTTTTGTGTGGGTCTTAAATTTACCTTCATAAAACCTGGTGGTAATAATGATTTATCTCATGTAATTCCCCAGTGAAATCGAGGTTATCAGAGACAGAGTTGTATCTTACTGTGTGTAAAGCCTCAGTTAGTAATGCGTCTGGTAGCCTGAAGCGGATGTGATTAATCGCAGTGTCAGTGTCCGAGTGAACAGTCTTTAGCAGGTACTGTGTGAGTGTTAGCTAGCTGTGAACAAAGTAACAGTGTGATAGACAGTGCGAGGTGCTATTACTGTTCTCTCACCTTCTCTTTCTCTTTGCTTCCTTCCTTAATTCTCTGAAAAATGTAATCAACCAGGACCTTTGCTAACAGGGAAACAGTAAGTACTGCTATGCTAATGCCGGGTTCAGACTACACAATATTTTTATCAGTCACGATAGTCACTGTGTCAGATTACACGATTTTGACTCCTAAAATCTTGTCGTGTCGTGAACAAGAAACATGTCAGACTACACGTTGCTTCCCGACCATTCATCGCGTGTCGTCTTTAACGATGCATGTGATGTCATCGAGAAGGCGGATCTAGCGACTGACTTCTGGCAGCCCGCTGAACGAGGATTCAACTGATCTTACCTGGAAGATGTTGTACTTGACGTTGCTGATCTCGATTTCCTTGCGGGGCTGAGTGCTGTCCGTCCCGTTCAGCGCCAGCAGACTTTTGAACCTGATTTCAGAGCAGACAACATGCTTTATTCTTAACGGTTCATTTGTGTTTCAAAATATTATCCACATATAGAGACCTGTGTTACGAGATAACAGATTTCTTTTATGAAAGTAATGTAATGGACTCGCCTGTCGGACGCCGTGAGCAGCAGAACCCCATGAGCGTAGAATGGTTTGCTCTCCACTAGGAACGTCACATCAGACATCTCTGGGTTGTTCAGGAAGTGAGGGTCTGTGGAAAGATGAATCTGAGACATCAGGCCCAAGATTTTCCAGAGTAATCCGTTACAGATAGAAATAAAAATTAACTGCAACTATAATATGCACTATGGAAGACCGTTTCCACCACTGAATAAAAAAAAAAGTGATTTTTTTTCTCACAATTCTGACGTTTTTCTCAGAATTGTGAGATATAAACTCGAAATTGCAAGAAACAAAGTCAGAATTGCAAGATAGAAAACTTCTGCGAAAAAAGTCTCTAAAGTTTCTCGCAATTTTGACTATAACACGCAATTGTGAGTTTATATCTCTCAATATCTCTGAGAAAAGTCAATTGTGAGACAGAAAGTCACAATTACCTTTATTTTTTATTCTGTGGCAGAAAGTCTTCCATAGTGCACTACCAAGTAACTGAACACCGTATCATTGACAAACATTCGTTTATTTTATTTATTTATTTTTTTCCAATGCTGGGTAGTTTAACTAGTAGATTCAGAAAATGCTGCAAATTCATAAATGTAACTGTACTAAGATTGAGTGAATTACCAAGTTGAGCAGAGAGAGCTGCCTTCTTTTCTTGGATAGGAGGAAGTGGAGCAGGACCGTAACAGTGACTAAAAATGACGCCCAACTGGTGGATTATAGCCTCGTTCTATAGAGAAAGAATTAGTCATAAGGTAGTTAAACTAAGAGTTATTTAAAGCCATCGTCACCCCAGGTCTGAATTTCTGGCACAAAAAAAAAAAAAAAAAAAACAAGAT